TGATTAGTGCCATGGTTATTCTGGTTAGTGCCATGGTTAGTCTGGTTAGTGCCATGGTTATTCTGGTTAGTGTCATGGTTAGTCTGGTTAGTGTCATGGTTAGTGCTATGGTTAGTCTGGTTAGTGCCATGGTTATTCTGGTTAGTGCTATGGTTAGTCTGGTTAATGCCATGGTTAGTCTGGTTAGTCTGGTTAGTGCCATGATTAGTGCCATGGTTATTCTGGTTAGTGCCATGGTTAGTCTGGTTAGTGCCATGGTTATTCTGGTTAGTGTCATGGTTAGTCTGGTTAGTGTCATGGTTAGTGCTATGGTTAGTCTGGTTAGTGCCATGGTTATTCTGGTTAGTGCTATGGTTAGTCTGGTTAATGCCATGGTTAGTCTGGTTAGTCTGGTTAGTGCCATGGTTAGTCTGGTTAGTGCCATGATTAGTGCCATGGTTATTCTGGTTAGTGCCATGGTTAGTCTGGTTAGTGCTATGGTTAGTGCCATGGTTAGTCTGGTTAGTGCCATGGTTAGTCTGGTTAGTGTCATGGTTAGTGCCATGGTTCTTTAGGCAAATATGAGCTGTTTTTTCTGCTAAAGTTATCACAATGACCTGAATAATGACATTTCTGAATCAAACCTGCCGAACACGTTTCTCGTCATAATTACTACATATTGTTTGGCCTCAACAGAACGAGTCTTGTAAAACTCTTGTCGTGAGCTTTTTTGACTCCCTGCTCCGACAGTCTCTCCACCGTTCCCGTCCATGTCTTCATCACCTTGTGGAGAGTTTAAATTAGCTTTAACTGTCCGTAGAGCGAATCATGGAAGTTTTTGGGTGGGCAGGGGAGACTCTAAACTCATTCATTCTCTACGACTAACTTCCCACAGTCATAATTATATACAGGAGAGTCCAATATACCCTTGGGCTGTGAGAAAGATGACTGCACGGTCAAATATGAGGTGATAAAAGCTTGAATCGAGTGGTTTTGAGCCTAATCTGACACATTCTGACTGCGTTAAAACTAAATTCAACAATGGGACGAAGCCATTTAGTCTAATTTCAAAACCTGTTGCGTTTTTTTCTTATTCCAAGGGAGACATTTATCCTAACTTTCACACTTTCAATCATTGTGCTTTGACCCGTCGGCAAATCTAAGGCTCAGTCCAAATGTGCTCATGTTAAGATACATTTATGCCAATTTTGAGTGATTTCTGACTTATTTTTCATCACTTTTTGCAGTGTAAGGGTTTAAAATTTGCAGTTCGGAAATTTGAGAAGGATGCAAATAAGTTAAAAAAGGATTGGGGCGTTTGTTCTGGGTTTGTTAAAACTAGTTTGCACCTCTGTGATGCTAAAGGCCAAAGTCTTCCTCTCAAAAGGCTCCGGCCACATCTGCAGCTGCTCTAGCCCAAGATTTCCAACTATGTGTTTGAAGTGAAGCTGCCAGTCACAGAGCAGAGGAGGACCAGACCCAACGAGTCCACTTGGTTATTATATACAGTATGACCACATTACAATATCTGTATGTGTCCAAAAGTGGTGGAAACGTAAAAGCCGTCATTCTTCATATAGGGCGTGTTCTGGCTCCAGCTGTGGCCGTGTGCAGCGCTAACCTGGTTTTATTATGACTTCCATGAAATAAAACTTTTTCCAAGACTAGTTTATTTGTATAGCACTGCTCATAGATAAGGCGACTCAAAGTGCTGAACGAAACAATGTAGGAACAATCACTGAAGGCTGTAAAATCATAAATAACCACAGTCGATTTAAAAGAGTAAAGATATGATTCACAGATAAACAGAACTGTTTTTAAACTGGATTTGAACATGGTCAGAGAAGAAGCCTGCCTCACATTTTCTGGAAGACTGCTCCAGATTATGGCTGCATGAATCTGAAATGCTACCTCCCCATGTTTAGTCCTGACTCTGGTACCAGCAAGAGGCCAGTCCCTGTGCTCCTCAGATTTCCAGCACTAGGCCAGTCCCTGTGCTCCTTTGAGTCCCAGCACTAGGCCAGTCCCTGTGCTCCTCAGATTCCCCGCAGGAGGCCAGTCCCTGTGCTCCTCAGAGTCTGAATTTAAAGCTATAAAAGAAACATCTTCTCTCTGTTTGGACGTCATTGATTTTTCTGCTACGTTCACATTATACTTTTCCTCTTCCGACTTTGCAAGTGCTTGGAGATGGTATAATTATGTTGATTTGAGAAGAATCTAAAATTCGATTCACGTCTCAAATTTAATTCCTGAGATACTTGCAAAAGAGTTCCTGGCTCTGAATCAGTTTTTATCACTAGTGTCACTCACATTTGTGTTTGGCCTCAGTCCCATTTTAGAGCAGCTTTTCCAGACACAACAGTCGGCCTCATTTCAAACACAGCAGCGTCCTGTTCTCATTAAGAGTCCGATGTCCTTATCCTAAAGCTGAGGTACAGAACTTTTACCTTCATGAAAACATTGTATATGTTCCAAGTTCCCAACAGGAAAAAGGAAAATGTCTGAACAAATGAACGTAAATATTATTTGAATCTTTGAAATAGAGAAAGGACCATGTGAGTCTGACACTGTGGAGTGAGAGCTGATTGGCCGAGAGAGGAGGTCCTCGCTCCCTCACATTGAGTCTAAAGATGTGGAAAATAGCCTGACTCCCGCCAGACGCTTGTAGATTGCTGCGCATCTCACATGCGTCTGAGAATCTTTGATAGGAGTTGCATTTCAGAAGGCAGGGCCTTGTACTTGTCCGTTGTCTTGAATGACGTGTTCCTTCAACCACTCACATCGAAGCACACGACTCCCATGGTTTGCCAAATGTCAGCAAGATTTTCTAGCTCAAAACCCGCGAGAATGCCCAAAAAAAAACACTGATTTTTTTGGCTAAAAACATAAAGTAATCAACTTGGGCTATCATGATTCTGTTTATTGTCTTTCTGTTTGTTTATCACCTACAAGTTTCTTGGAAAAAGATATACGGGAACCACCCAACCTGGCAACCCTGCTGCAAAGACATGCAAACAGGAACACTTAAACTACTGCTTAAACCAAACTTTACACGAACATTTGACTCTTAACCACTTAGCAACCACCAACCCGCCGGCGGGCTGTTTTTATGTTTTTAAATGTTCTGCTGGCAATAGCAGATGTATTTTGAACACCAAACCCCAAAAGCTGTATATCATTTTAAAGCTTATTTTCTTATCTACGTTTACATACAAGTGTAAACTACATCAGACTTTGCATTCAAAAGATATAACACATAATGTGGGCACAAAATAAATCAATTCCGAAATAGCTTTTTACCTTTGGGCTTGTGCTGTACAAATAAATCAGCTCTCCTCCCAGCTTGCAATACATCATTCTCTCTGGAACAGTCCAAAGGAAAATTATATCCACTTGTATTTCCCAAAGTAAAATCCATTCTGCAGAAATAATCCAAAAATGTGCATTTATCTTTAGCGAAAAAAACGAAAAAAAAGAGCACAGATGTTACTCTTTCACTTTTAACGGACTTTTAGCTTTGTTTTTCACCCGAACATCTGGTATCTACGTGTTCCTTAGCTCCTTATCTTTCAAATGAGACTACTCCCGAAAAGCTAGACCAATTTTTGGGTCTGCAAGAGCCGCTGCAAGTACAGCTTGCGCTGCTGTTTGCGCATGCTTCACTGATCTTTTGTGGGGTCCCAACTTGTTTACGTTTACTTCCGGGATTTACGATTGACATGTCCTTGTAGCCAATGAGGAAAGCTTTCGAACAAGGGGTGGGACAATGGTGTCCTGTCTTATGTTGTCCCTGGACAATTGTGCGTCATGGAAGCCAAAAGACGCTCCCGAAGCTGCAATGAATTTACACTCATAAAAAAATAACTTTGACATTTAAAAAAGAAAAAACACACATAGATTAGTAACTTATAAGTACCAATAATAAAAAATATTGTTTTTATGATGATTAAATGTAAGTAAAGATATTTGGCACAATTTGGCCAAATTGTGCCAAATGTGCACTACTTGATGAAAAGGAGAAACTGCATAAAAACTATAAAACTTAGAAGTCTGAAACTTTAGACAGTTGTTGTCAACAACACAATGAACAGAGGGTTTGAATATTGTGAACTTACAATGAAGTCTGCCTTTTTTAGGGCCTTTAGAAATTGAAAATGTTAGGCGAGGCTAAAAAAATTGGGTTTTTTTCCCTAACTTCAAAGGATGCAGAGGAAAATAGGAATGACAAACATTATTTTAGTGTTTTTTTACATAAACTAGAAGGCTCTAGCTTTAAAATGATGCATCACACAAGCATGTGAGATGTAAGATGTGTTTTTAAATAAGCAAAGACATTTGGGTATGCCCAACCATTGTGCACGAGCCAAAATGAGGCGGTTGTTATTAAAACACACATATAATAACATGGAACCATCAACATCTCGCCTCATATTGCATTAAAAGTGACATCTGTTTGTTTTTATTTGGTTGGGACAGAACATGTTCATGAACACATCACTCCAGATTGTAGCCATTGGCTAATTTCCATCCGTTGTCCGCACTCACAAAAACACACTCATTCTCCTTGAACTATAGCACATGTTTTTAGTGGTAGGGGAAACCGGAGCACCCGGAGGAAGCCTATGCAGACACAGGGAGAACATGCAACACCGGCGATCCTGGTTGGTCGATTATTTTCTGATCTGCTGAAGTTTGGTATGCGCTCGATCCCGGACCCTTGTGTTCAGCCAAACACCTCTGGTGGAGCATGGCGGAACTACAAGGGTCTGGCAGAGCCAGGCTAGTGGAAAAGGCCAAACTACACTTTCACAAGAATCTGTATTACAAAGTTTACTTTATGTGGTTTGAAAGTTATTTACCACAAGTTTAACCCAACTCTTCTTCTTCTTCTTCTCATCCTCCTCCTTCTTCTCCTCCTCCTTTTCCTTCTCCTCCTTCTCCTCCTCCTTCTCCTTCTCCTCCTTCTCCTCCTCCTTCTCCTTCTCCTCCTCCTCCTCCTCCTCCTCCGTTTGTGTCTGCAGCGGTGATTGCCGGTGGAGTGATCGGCTTCCTCTTCGCCATCTTCCTCATCCTCCTCCTGGTTTACCGCATGAGGAAGAAGGACGAGGGCAGCTACGACCTCGGCGAGAGAAAGCCCAACGGCACGCCGTACCAGAAGGCCCCCACCAAGGAGTTCTACGCATAAACTCCCCCCAAACACACAACCACACCCACACACACACACACAGGCACGCACAGACCACCCATCCAGCCACGTATGTGCGTTGCCGTGACAACAGAGATGCTACTGTTACACATGTGAGGAGAAGAATTGCATAAAAAAGTGATGTAATAAAAAAAAACGCCAATTTTATTTTTTTTATGGAAATCTAGCTTTTTTTCTGTTTTGTGGCAAATTGGTGCGTTTAAAGGTGCAGCGTGTGAGTTTTTAAAGGGTTGGAGTGTGGTTTTACTCGTCCTAAAGCTGCGACGCGTAACTTTTCTAACTTTTTTTTTTGGTCGAGAGGACATTGTTTTCATTCCAAATGTTTTCACAGCTCAAAAAAACTGATTTTCCGCGTCTTAAACCTGAACTTTAAGAAATTCAGGCAAAACTACATTAGAAATTCAAACAGGAAAGTAGTGGCTCTTAAAACAGTTAGTTTGAGACAATGAGAAGCAATTTATAACTTTAAATTTGAAACAGAAAATGGGATTATGGTGACTAAAAAAGACTAAAAAAATTGCTGTAAGACAGTCAAAAAACAGTCAAAAAATCTAAATAAATCCAAAATGATTCAAACAGAAACTTATTACTGTCATTTTTTGCAGTGTTTTGCTGCGGTTCTTTCTGCGGCGATGTCTTTGTTAGATCTGGAAGTTTCACATCCAGATATTATTCCAAAAATCTTGAAAAACGCACAGGTCTTCCACAGATCTGGCTCCTGACCTGAAGCCTGGATCAAAGTCATGTACTGTTGTGTATTCTTATTATAGTGTGACCTGCCTCGGGACTACACATGTAAATTAGCAGTTTTTCTATAATCTGGCACATTTACATTCTGTGTACAACTTGTATATGATTGTTCATTAATGTGCGTTGTCCCGGTCAAATTAATAAATAAATGATTACAAAATTAGCTCACGCTCCAAAGTCCAAACAGACCCAAAACTTTAATGAATGTGATTAAACAAAACAAATCTGCGAATATTCAAATAGAAAAGTGCCCTGTTGCCTTTTTGTCAAATATTCATCAATGGAAAATACAACAAAGTGCAGATATAGCAGCAGATCTTGTGTTTTTTTCCTGCTGGTAAAGTAAGAAAATAATAACTATGTTTGGGGATCACCGGAGCAATGGGAAGAAAATCAAATATGATCAAATCTGGCAAAAAAAAATTTACCTTGTTTTTACTCTGTCTCTTCATGGACTTTTCACATTCAAAAAAATTAAATAAAAAAGAAATAATAATAATTAATAAATAATTAATAAAAACGACTGTGTCTTGGTAAAAAGCGAATTTAAAGTGGATTTTTTTTTTTTGGGTTCAATTTGTTTTACTGAACCAGGTTATTTTTGTAAAATCACAACAGCCGTTTATCTCCACTGGAAAAAATACCTTAAAAAAAAAAGAACAAAAAACATTAAAATAAATAAAATACATCTTAAAATAAGAAAATATATTATTATTAGATCGGAGGACTTAACAAAGCTGTCGATTGGCCAAAAGCAGATCAGAGAATCAAATAGTGAAGGAAATGCAGTCATAACAAACACGTAGAAGCCGTTGGTCCAAAAGAGAGACCAATGTCCATAAATGTCCTTTAAAGTCCTTTAAAGTCCTGGGTCGTCACAGAGCGATTCCCATAGAGCAGGGGTCTCCAACCTTTTTCAATCGCAGAGCTACTATTTTACAACAGAAGAGGCAGAGAGCTACACCTTTTTTCATTTCTAATAATAATCGATCTAATTATTAAATCAAAACGATGAAAACACATTAAAAACATACCATGACTCTGTATAACCCCATATCTAGACTCAAAATGTATTCATTCAAGATCATTTGTTGAATTCTAAATCCTTTGGCGAGCTTCCCGAAAGGGGCTGGCGAGCTACTGGGAGCTCCCGAGCCATAGAGAGAGACAGAGAGGTCCCACGCTGCACTTTTAAACTTCTGTATTTCATTTGGAAATAAAAAGTGGTAAAAAGCGTTTTCTAAGATGGTGGTTGCTAACTACTTTAACCGTAGCAGATTGTGTAACTTGTAAAGACGATTTCTAAGCCTGGACATAATCGATGATATTGATTCTTTCCGTTTCTTTGTGCTAGCATGTCTGATGTCGATCGCTAAAAGTGTATTACGTTAATTTATCTTGTTTTTATAAATGCCTTGGTAGTTTTGGATGATGTTAACAGTCTGTGTAAACGACCGACTTCAGGTTACAATGTTTATTTCATTCTCTCACAACTGAATTCATTTTATTTTCAATGCTATTATTTTTATTTCTTTTTCTCTGACACAGGTTTTGGTTCAAACCTAGAAAACAGTTTTCCGTGTTTCGGGGCTTGTCACAAACTCAACTTCCTGTCATCACTTTGGGGAAACTTTGGGGAATCTTCCATTGGGGCTGCAGCCAATCAGCATCTTGCTTTTCCAGAACTTTCGGGCAAAATAAGGACATTCTTGCTTTGTTTGCGTCATAAACCGTACTTTCTTGGCTTTCTGTGTTTTGTCGAGGCTTCAGTTGGATCAGGGTTTCCCAACCTACGGGCTGCGGACACCTCAGGGTACGTTGGGGTATTTTTCTCCACTGCAGGACAAATTATGGTTCTTAACATAATGAAGCATTGCCAGAATGAGGTTTCTAAGGGCTACCATGGCACGTTACACATCAATTTAAAGTTAATTCTGTTGAGAAAAGAACGGTGTAATCTATTTTATTATAAACTTTGAACACGTGGATGCAAATAGTGTCAATACTTTGGCTTGTTATCGCAAACCATGGACCATAAACCATTGAAGACTGCTCACAAAAGTTGTAAAGTGCTTTGTGACTTTTGTTTGTGAAAGGCGCTATATTAATAACTGACTTACTTACGTACGAAGTATCTGATGAGAGCTAGCTTAAACAGGCTAATTGAGCAAGGATGTGGAGCCTGGTTTATGCAGATTTTGATGGTAGCAACGGCCCAGTTACCAAGAGCCAATCATATCTCTGCACTCGCGCCACCAGCTAGCTAAAGCCAAATTCTGCGACAGAAGGCTCCTGATTGGTCCGTTTTTTTGGGGGCTTATATTGGGGTCACACTCACAATATAAACACCAGGATCACAGAGAGCGCTAACCACACATTTTAAAACCCACAAACGGCTACGAGCTAGAGGAGGTTACAATGTAATTCAATGGGGGCCAGAGAGAGTTAGAGCAAAACTACGCCCATGAGCACTTCCTATTGGCCTTCTTTGACCTAGTGGGTTAGCATTGTCTATCTAAATACATACATGCAAACAGATACTCTTTTACTTTATTCCGAACAATATAAAACCTCAAGCTAAAAAACGAAATGTATTTGGCTTAGATCCCGACAGTACATGATGTGATAAAGAATTAAAAAATATTATCTTAAAATCGCACTCTCTCTAAAGAAATGGATGAGATCTTGACAGAAACTAATGGAAAAGCAATGTGTAGCCTCCAATCTGTGTTTTTTTTTTAATGCGACCCCGATCTAAATGAGTGTGAGGGTGAGAATCCAAGGCCACACAGGTTGGGAACCACTGATCTAGAGATTTGATTCTTGACAATTATCTCTGACTCGATCACAAATCCTCCGAAAGAACCCTGTTTTTTTCTGCGTCCGCCAACATGGCATAGTCCCTCGTTCGCTGGTCCGCCTCCTCCCGGTGGCCTCAGACCGGTCCAGCTCCTTTCTTTCACTTAGTCCCGTGCATTTCTCTCTATTCTCCCAACTCCTTTTGAATCCCCTTGGAGCTCGGCCACCTCGCTTTTACCAGCCCTTTTAGTATGTGTTTGGTGTTTTTGTCCATGTTGACGCTGTTAGCCTAAAAAGCAGGCAGCAGAGGCGAGATATACACAGACCCATGATCTGTGTCTGTTTTTGCCCGCAGGCCTGGATTTGTTGGCATTGATAAAAAAAAAAAAAAAAAATAACATAAACGGCAAAAAGTTTGGGAACATCCTCAAAAGGTCTTCGTACTTAGAGCTATGACATTTTCTCACTGGCGGAACGTGAAGTCAAGAGAAATGGACAATGTCGTGGGGTATTTTCTGACTGTACAATAGCTGCACTGCAAAAAACTTTAAAAAAATGCTTGAATCAGGTGTTTTTAGTGTAATTTGAGCACATTCTGACTGTGTTAAAACCAAGACAAAGCTTGTTTACGGCTCAGTCAAAATGCGCTAAAAAAAAAACCTCATTGACTGCCATTGACGTATTTATCTTCTGTCAATCTTCTCTCCATTCGACTGGAGATTACAGGACAACAAAACTAGCTAGAAACCAACTTTTTTTTGCTGATGAAAGTAGACAGTTCAATCTTTCAGAATCTGGTTTCATATTTCACAAAATCATCGCACAAAATATTCTGTGGGTCTTGAAAATCAGTGAAATCATCAAAAACGGCTGGCAGTCACTAAGTTTTGATACATTTAACCAAATTATAGCGTTTGTTTTTTTTTACTTGTTTTTGCAGTGTGGCCTCAAAAATAGCTAAACTGAAGTGTGGAAATGTAGATGAATGAGCCAAAACGCTTCCTCTCGATCTCTCGAAGCAAATACGGCCAAACATCACTTTTAAAATAACTCGGCTTAGCACAAACTGGTCTGACGCAGACAAAGAAAACAAAAAAACGGCATTTGATTTGCGATGGTGACGCTGAGAGGATGCATTGATGGAGTAGTACATGGTGTGTGTAGAGCGGCATGAGTTTTGATCAGAACGAGTCCTTGTATCTGAGTGGGACTGGGGTGAGTTCAGGAGCTGGTTCACGGTCCACTTTTCTGCTCGTGCTGGTCTCTGGGCCCTTCTCCCCCCGCTCTGTCTGCTCTGGAGGTGTTCGCAGGTGTTGCCTTTCGCAGTTTGTACAGTGCATAATGTGAACGTGGTGAGGTTTCTCGGCTCTCTCTCTCTCTCTCTTGTTCTCTCTCTTTGTTTGTCCCCCTGTTTTTGCCGTAAACTTAACATTTCTGAAAACCCAAAGACACAGTATTTTTGTCCTTCACGCCCACGTCATGTTGTTTCACTGTTTTACCTTTTTAGACTCGCCCTTTAAAGTCCAGTCGCTTATTAGTAAAATATATATAAATAAATATATAAATGTATATTCACAAATGTTTTAAACCTTCCAAGTGCCTACCATTGGAGCGGCGTGCTGGTGTGCAGCACAGAGGACGTGCACAGACGGAGTGAGGACTGTAAATGGTACTTTTTTTTAGTCTTACAGAAGCTGACAGTATTGTATCTATGAGTTGAAACAACACTACTGAATAAACATTGTGGCCTAAAACCTTCTTGTGTTTCTTTCTTTCTCTTTCGTCTGTTTGAATTCACTGTGTGACGATCAGACTGTGGAATATGTCCTTACATGCAGAAGCTAAGCAGGGCAGGGCCTGGTTAGCACTGTGATGGGAGACCTCTGGGAGGTCTGGCACACACTGGTTACCTTGATTCCGTCAGTGTGCTCCATTGCAGCTGTTGCTACAGTATTTGTGTATTGAGTAAATGAATAATGACATGTGAAGCATCTTTGACAGTCTAGAAAAGGCATCAAAACCTATGAATTAAATGTGGAATTATGTACTAAAAAAGTATGAAACAAGTGAAAATATGTGTATATTCACCTTTTGCTCTGATACTGCTTCACTCTTGACATTCTCTGGATGAGCTTCAAGAGGACCTGAAATGGTCTTTAACAGTCTTGAAGGACTTCCCATGATGCTTAGCACTTGTTGGCCCCTTCACTCTGTGGTCCTGCCCCAAAACCATCTGGACTGGGTTCAGGTCCGGTGACTGTGGAGGTCACAGCCTGGTGTGGATCTACAGCAATAGTCATGAGAAGAAAAGACACTCATTGAATGAGAAAGTGTGTCCAAACTTTTGGTCTGTACTAAATGTTTGTAGATAGATAGATAGATACTTTATTGATCCCCGTAGGAGAAATTCAGGATCAGTACAGGACTAAATTACAACAGCAGTCGTCTCAGAGGACTTCACAAATGTGTCGATTGCTCAACAACAGATCAGAGAATCAAACAGTTCAAATACACAGGAAATGCAATTATAACAAACACATAGAGCCATTAGTGCATAAAGGGCAGAGACCAATTTCTATAAATGTGGTTGAATATCGAGGGTCCTGGATCATCCCCCCTGTCCTCGGACCCTTCGGTATCAGCGAGGAAATATCCAGGTACATCCCGGCTGTAGCTGTCCCATAATCCTCTCCTCTGGCTCCGGTGAAAGTGCTTTAAATGTAGATAAAAAAGTGCTGCTGCGAATCACTCTCTGCCTCGCTCACGTCTTGAGGATTACCTCGTGGCTGATGAGTAATCTGTATGTATCACTGGAGTTTAATCTGGTGCAGTGGGAGATTACAGTCGTCCTGGATTATGCCAGATTGGACTCAGACGCAACGGTGATTTCTGCACTTGGGACTTGGTTATTTATTCAACAGGAGCTTTGCAGAAAGTGATAAAAAATAAGTTAAAAACTGCTCGAATTTGGCAAAATGTATCACGATCCGAGCACTTTCTGACTGAGCCTTAAAACAAGATTTACAAATGGGACAAAGAAAAATAATCTTGTCCAATTCTATCATTGGAGAATTGTGTTGAAACACTTTTTGAGTCACTATTTCTACTTGGAACAACAATTCCATACCATACCATACCAGACCATACCACCCCATTCCACACCACACCATACCATACCACACCATGCCATACCATACCACACCACACCACACCACACCACACCATACCATACCACACCATACCACACCACACCATACCATACCACACCATACCACACCACACCATACCACACCATACCATACCACACCATACCACACCACACCATACCACACCATACCATACCATACCATACCACATCATACAAAGTATTCTTGTAAAGCCCTGAATCACAACAGCATCATCTCAGAGACTTAACAAAACCATTGAAATCACCAACACAGATCAGAATCAACAGTTAAGACACAAAAATAATATAGACCACATGGTATAGAGGTTTTGCACCACCATGTGACCTACATAGCAACCGTCACTAAGCGGCCATGTTAGATGGCAGGTATGAAACTTTATACAGTCAGATTCAACACAGTGGCCGAGAGTGCACCTTTACTTAGACTGATGGGAAAGTTTTGCTGCGTCTTTACCACAATTAAAGACGCAGCAAAACTTTCCCATGACGGTTGCTATGTAGGTCACATGGTGGTGCAAAACCTCTATTGGACCATGGGGAGAGACCAGTGATCATGAATGTTGATAAATGTCAAATCTACCTCTTTGGGGAATCTCACTTGGTTTGAGGCACTTAACCATCAAACTGCATCTCAACCATTTAGTGAAGGCCTATAATTTATAAACTATAGGTTCAAAACAGTTAATAATCATAAAAACTGTGTTGTTAGTGTTTCTTCAAAATAAGAAGCTTTCTTCAAGAAGTGAACATTAAAGGGTTCATTCTACACAAGCAAAACAATATTGTTTTTTATTTCCAAGATTAATTTGATTTTGCAAAAGAGTGATTCGATTATTTTAAGGGATCAACAGATGTGTGTGTGTGTTTGTGTGCATGTGTGTGTGCGTATTTATGTGTGTGCGTGTATGTGTGTGTTTGTGTGTACATTTTGCAACATTATTATCAATATGAAGAATATAATAAAGAAATAAAGGACAGATAATAAGCATAAAACTGGATCAATAATGGTAAGTTTTAACCAAGGCAAGTTTATTTGTATAACTGCTGATGTCCACAGGAGGCGTTACAGCACGTACGCGTTGTACGAGCAGCAGACGCACGTAACATTTTTCCATGTTAACCAATGGTGATATTTACACTAGTGTCATGTGCAGGTATGACGGACGTATGACGGACGTAAGACGGACGTATGACGGACGTATGACGGACGCAAGACGGACGTAAGACGGACGTATGACGGACGCAAGACGGACGTATGACGGACGTAAGACGGACGTAAGACGGACCTATGACGGACGTATGACAGATGTAAGACGGACGTATGACGGACCTATGACGGACGTATGACGGACGTAAGACGGACGTATGACGGACGTAAGACGGACGTATGACGGACGCAAGACGGACGTATGACGGACGTATAACGGACGTAAGACGGACGTAAGACGGACCTATGACGGACGTAAGACGGACGTATGACGGACGTATGACGGACCTATGACGGACGTATGACGGACGCAAGACGGACGTATGACGGACGCAAGACGGACGTATGACGGACGCAAGACGGACGTATAACGGACGTAAGACGGACGTAAGACGGACCTATGACGGACGTAAGACGGACGTATGACGGACGTATGACGGACCTATGACGGACGTATGACGGACGCAAGACGGACGTATGACGGACGCAAGACGGACGTATGACGGACGCAAGACGGACGTATGACGGACGTATAACGGACGTAAGACGGACCTATGACGGACGTAAGACGGACCTATGACGGACCTATGACGGACCTATGACGGACGTAAGACGGACCTATGACGGACGCAAGACGGACGCATGACGGACGTATGACGGACGTATGACGGACGTAAGACGGACCTATGACGGACGTATGACGGACGTATGACGGACGTAAGACGGACGTAAGACGGACCTATGACGGACCTATGACGGACGTAAGACGGACGTATGACGGACGCAAGACGGACGTATGACGGACGTATGATTGACGTAAGAGGGCCCTATGACGGACCTATGACGGACGTAAGACGGACGTATGACGGACGTATGACGGACCTATGACGGACGTATGACAGATGTAAGACCGCATGACGGACCTATGACGGACGTATGACGGACGTATGACGGACGTAAGACGGACCTATGACGGACGTAAGACGGACCTATGACGGACGTAAGACGGACCTATGACGGACGTAAGACGGACGTATGACGGACGTAAGACGGACGTATGACGGACCTATGACGGACCTATGACGGACGTAAGACGGACCTATGACGGACGTAAGACGGACCTATGACGGACGTAAGACGGACCTATGACGGACGTAAGACGGACGTATGACGGACGCAAGACGGACGTATGACGGACGTATGACGGACGTAAGATGGACGTAAGACGGACCTATGACGGACGTATGACGGACGCAAGACGGACGTATGACGGACGTAAGACGGACCTATGACGGACCTATGACGGACGTAAGACGGACCTATGACGGACGCAAGACGGACGCATGACGGACGTATGACGGACGTAAGACGGACCTATGACGGACGTATGACGGACGTATGACGGACGTATGACGGACGTAAGACGGACCTATGACGGACGTAAGACGGACCTATGACGGACCTATGACGGACGTAAGACGGACGTATGACGGACGCAAGACGGACGTATGACGGACGTATGATTGACGTAAGAGGGCCCTATGACGGACCTATGACGGACGTAAGACGGACGTATGACGGACGTATGACGGACCTATGACGGACGTATGACAGATGTAAGACCGCATGACGGACCTATGACGGACGTATGACGGACGTATGACGGACGTAAGACGGACGTAAGACGGAGGCAAGACGGACGTATGACGGATGTAAGACGGACGGACGTAAGACGGACCTATGACGGACGTAAGACGGACCTATGACGGACCTATGACGGACGTAAGACGGACGTAAGACGGACCTATGACGGACGTAAGACGGACCTATGACGGACCTATGACGGACGTAAGACGGACGTATGACGGACGTATGACGGACGTAAGACGGACGTAAGACGGACGTATGACGGACGTAAGACGGACCTATGACGGACGTAAGACGGACCTATGACGGACGTAAGACGGACGTATGACGGACGTAAGACGGACGTATGACGGACCTATGACGGACCTATGACGGACGTAAGACGGACCTATGACGGACGTAAGACGGACCTATGACGGACGTAAGACGGACCTATGACGGACGTAAGACGGACGTATGACGGACGTAAGACGGACGTTTGACGGACGTATGACGGACCTATGACGGACGTAAGACGGACCTATGACGGACGTAAGACGGACCTATGACGGACGTAAGACGGACCTATGACGGACGTAAGACGGACCTATGACGGACGTATGACTGACGTAACAGGGAATTTACACAGTAGGCGTAAACAGCGCGTACGCGTTTACTGCGCGCAACATTTTTTTGGAGTATCTACACAGGCCGTGCGCGCAGGTCTGCGTCTTCTGATGCTCTCCCTGTGTAGTCTATGGAGCAGTGTAGAGGACAGTACGGGCCAGAGGACTGATGTAGAGCAACACAAATCACATGCATGTGTTTGTCTCCATGGTCTCTGGGCGCTGGTTTGGCCAGACGCGAGACATTATGAAAGAAAAAAAACGATGTCCAGAATCACTGTAAAACCTGCTGCTCCTCCTGCTGATGTTTAGACACAAGTGCTGTGTGTGCGTATACTGCGATCATGTTTTACATGAGATTTCAATGGGAGACGCGTTGGTGCGCGCACAAAATTAGAAATCCATCCTAAATTAGAGCGCAGCTTCGCGTCATACGTCCGTCATACACACGTATAACGCTAGAAGTGTAAATATCATCATAGGTTAACATGGAAAAAAAGTTACGCGCGTCTGCTGCGCGTATAACGCGTATGTGCTGTAACGCGTGATGTGTAAATTAGCAATAAGACGGACGTATGACGAACGTAAGACGGACGTATGAAGGACGTAAGACGGACGTATGACGGACGTAAGACGGACGTATGACGGACGTAAGACGGACGTATGAAGGACGTAAGACGGACGTATGACGGACGTATGACGGACGTATGAAGGACGTAAGTCGGACGTATGAAGGACGTATGACGGACGTATGAAGGACATATGACGGACGTAAGACGGACGTATGAAGGACGTAAGACGGACGTAAGACGGACGTAAGACGGACGTATGACGGACGTATGACGGACGTATGAAGGACGTAAGTCGGACGTATGAAGGACGTATGACGGACGTATGAAGGACGTATGACGGACGTAAGACGGACGTATGAAGGACGTAAGACGGACGTAAGACGGACGTAAGACGGACGTATGAAGGACGTAAGACGGACGTATGAAGGACGTAAGACGGACATAAGACGGACGTATGACGGACGTATGAAGGATGTAAGACGGACGTAAGACGGACGTATGACGGACGTATGACGGACGTATGACGGATGTAAGACGCGAGGCTGCGCCTAACTTAGGATTGATTTCTAATTTTGTGCGAGCAGCAACGCGTCTCCCTTTGAAAACACATGTGAAACATGATTTTTATAGTGACCCTTGGTTTTAGATTGCATCCACACACACACACACACACGCACACACACACACACATACACCACTTGTATCTAAACATCAGCAGGTTTTACTGTGATTCTGGACATCGTTTTTTTTTCTCTCATAAAGTCTTGCGTCCGGTCAAACCATAGACTGTAAATATTAACGGACAGAGTCACGCCTATCTCCGCCGTTCTAACTTATGGGCCAAAAAATGTGCTCTACTGGAGCAATCCAAAATGGCAGCGAATGGTCCCGCCCGCGAGAAAATTGTGAAAAAACGCATCTGCGCATGCGTCAGCCGGAGCAGCTCCATTCATTTGAACGAGAGACTTCAAATATTCACAGCAAGTAAACTAGAGTGGTCCAAAACACCCCCCTCAGCATTGACACACATGTGGAACGGAGCTTTGGGCCAAGAGCCAACTTTTGGTCCATCCTGTAAAGGCGTTTTTGAGAGGTCTGCTAATGCTATGTGTTAACATTGGCTAATTCTACTTCTGGGTCCACTCCCAGCGGCCCGGGGTGGTATTGCAGCATGTCAGCGCACATCATTTTGGCCACTTTTGAGCCGGGACCCTCCCCCACTGGGTCAAACCAGCGCACAGAGACCATGAAGACAAACACATGTGATTTGTGTTGCTCTACATCAGTCCTCTGTACTGTCCTCTACACTGCTCCATAGACTACACAGGGACAGCATCAGAAGCCTCAGACCTGCGCTCACCCAAATAATATTATGCGCACATGCGCGCAGTCAACGCGTACGCGCCGATAACACTTACTGTGTAAATTCACAATAATCACAGAACATTAAAAAGAAAGATAAAAATATAAAATCCCTCAGTTGTATGCACAGCTAAACAGAACTGTCTTTGACCTGGTTTTAAACATCGTCATTGAGGAGGCCTGTCTCACATCTTCAGGAAGACTGTTCCAGATTTTAGCAGCATGAATCTGAAAATGTCATGGGGTGAAGTGATGGAGGACTCAAAATGCAGGAATGCGAAAAACAAAAATGATTTAATGATAAAAATCAAATAAAAGTCCAAGATGAAAACATAATCCAAACAAGAACCAGGAACACAGACTGACAAGGACAGACAATACAATGAACCAGCAACAAGAGGAAAGGAGCACTGGGTACATATAGACACAGACACAGACACAGGTGAAACACATCAGGGCAGGGCAGACAATCAACACAGGGGAACAAGACAGGAAGTACAACTAAAACCAAACTTATGTCAAAATAAAACCAAATCCACACCATGACAGAAAAGCAGCCTCCCCATGTTTAGTTCTGACTCTGGGCACTAACAGGAGTCCAGTCCCTGTGCTCCTCAGAGTCCCAGCAGGAGTCCAGTCCCTGTGCTCCTCAGAGTCCCAGCAGGAGTCCAGTCCCTGTGCTCCTCAGAGTCCCAGCAGGAATCCAGTCCCTGTGCTCCTCAGAGTCCGGGCTGGTTCATATGGGACTAACATGTCACTAATATATTTTGGTGCGAGGCCATGGAGAGACTTGTAACAAGCAGAGCTGTTTTAAAGTCTATTCTCTGAGCCACAGGAAGCCAGTGCAGGGACCTGAGGACTGGACTAATGTGGTCGTACTTCCTGGTTCTAGTCAGGACTAATGCGGTCGTACTTCCTGGTTCTAGTCAGGACCAAGCCCCGCGATCCAAGATGGCGCCCTATTCAAATGAATGGTTGTGCTCAGTGGCGCTTTGTGACGGCATGGGGGCTGAAAGATTAGCGGAAGTCGCCTGAAACTCGCAAAGATCTATGGGAATCTCGCCTGTACTTGGGCATCGTCTGGTCCTCCCGGTTCTGTGCAGTGGATGATCTCCCATAATGCGTTGCACCAAACACGCGTGTGTGGGTCTCACACCGGGTCTCACGCACGTGCACAGAGGGGCTCGGCCGCGCTCTGACCAATCAGAGCAGTTCATCAGAGCGGGAGTTAGAGCGAGAGCCAGACGAGCAGAGTTTGTGGCACTAAAGTGTGGATTTAAACAAAACCGAAGGATTTAAGAAGAAAAAAAGTTCAGGATGACAAGGGACACTAAAATCCCCACAAAATCCGACCTTTGTGAAAGCTGTAGGTTCTCTGTCAGGTTCTCTGTCAGCTGAGGTTGAGCTGTTTTAATTTGCATTGAGTTCTGTGGGGAAAATTTCTGGGTAGCCCACGTGAATTTAGTCTGGTTCAGTCTGCAGTACCGCGAGAATCCCTCGAGCACATGGGTTATTCAGCTACAAGCTAGTACCCTATCCAGTTAATATTATAGATCCATGGTCAGGACTAATGTGGTCGTACTTCCTGGTTCTAGTCAGGACTAATGTGGTCGTACTTCCTGGTTCTAGTCAGGACTAATGTGGTCGTACTTCCTGGTTCTAGTCAGGACTCGAGCTGCTGCATTTTGAATGTACTGCAGCTGTTTTACAGCCTGTTTGGACAGACCTGTGAGCAGGCCATTGCAGTAGTCTAACCTACTGGAGACAAATGCATGGATAAGAATCTCCAGGTCTGCTTTAGACACTATGTTTTTGATCCTGGTGATGTTTTTTAGATGGTAAAAAGCTGCTGATGTTACTGATTTGATGTGGCTATTAAAATTTAAGTCTGAGTCCAGTATTACCCCTAGATTTCTGACCTTGTTTGAAGGTTTTAGGGAGAGAGACTGTAGGTGACAGATGACGCTCTCTCTTTGTTTCTGGGGACCAAAGACAATCATTTCAGTTTTGTCTGCGTTTAGCTGAAGGAAGTTTTGCATCCACTCACTGATCCTACAGGAATAAGAAAAGGGACTATCTTGCTTTTGATCTAGTTTCTGGTACAGTTCTGGAAATAGGACTAAATGACTTTGTCCCGATGGAAATCCTGTGTTAAAACAGTCAAAATGAACTCAAATTAAGGCAAGGCAATTGTATGGCACAATTCATACACAGAGTACACTAAGATAAAAAAACACTTATTTCAAGAAACTTTTACCTCATATTTGATTTTTTGCAGTGTCATGATTTGAGTCCATCACAAACTGAAACTCCTCATTTACCCCAGACCAGCGCTTCATTATTCAAAGCCAAACACAGAGCCGAAATTAAACACCGCAATTTCAGCCACCTGCGAAACTGATTAGGATTCACCCGGCGGCACGCGGCGTTGATCTGACGTGGATTGGAATAAAAAACGGTGAGAAATGGTTTGTGACATTCAATCAAGACCTTTGCGCAAACATCCCTGTAATCTGTCAACGCCGAAACCAAGTCGGAGATACAGATCTGAATCACGGAGCGGCACAGACACCACATGTGATGTTTTCAGAGTAAATCAGTTAAAATAGGATTGCCGCTAAAAAAAGAGATGTGAGGAGTAATATGCAAATCAGGGGTGTCCAAACTTTTCAGTCACAGGGCCGCTTTAGTTCGTCAGAGTTGTCTAGAGGCAACGGCATGGATCGTGAAACTGTTTTGACTGGATGCAGGCTGAGGTGGGACGTGTTCATATTTTGACTGAGCTGAAGTTGGCTGAATGACAAACCATCGCATCAGCTACCTTAGCGCTACCTACATCGTTGTGTGACTCAAACATAAATGTCAGTGTGTTCAATTAAAGTCCATTGAGTTTGACAGCGAGGTGAAACATGCATTTATGGACTGAGCTGAAGTTGGCTGGATGACACAGGTAACTTTTGTGTATGATCTAAAAGTCATTTTCACGTTGGCAAGGCAGAGGGTCGCTTAAAATGACACATGGGGCTGCGATTGGTCCGCAGGCCTTAGTTCGGACAGGCCTAATGCATGTCCTGGATCTACAGCCTTAGTCCTGGATCTACAGCCTCAGTCCTGGGTCTACAGCCTCAGTCCTGGATCTACAGCCTTAGTCCTGGGTCTACAGCCTCAGTCCTGGATCTACAGCCTCAGTCCTGGATCTACAGCCTCAGTCCTGGATCTACAGCCTCAGTCCTGGATCTACAGCCTCAGTCCTGGATCTACAGCCTCAGTCCTGGGTCTACAGCCTCAGTCCTGGGTCTACAGCCTCAGTCCTGGATCTACAGCCTCAGTCCTGGATCTACAGCCTCAGTCCTGGGTCTACAGCCTCAGTCCTGGGTCTACAGCCTCAGTCCTGGATCTACAGCCTCAGTCCTGGGTCTACCAGCCTCAGTCCTGGGTCTACAGCCTCAGTCCTGGGTCTACAGCCTCAGTCCTGGGTCTACAGCCTTAGTCCTGGGTCTACAGCCTCAGTCCTGGGTCTACAGCCTCAGTCCTGGGTCTACAGCCTCAGTCCTGGATCTACAGCCTCAGTCCTGGATCTACAGCCTCAGTCCTGGATCTACAGGTACAGCCTCAGTCCTGAATCTACAGTTTTTCTGGTTGAACAAAACAACAAATGTGTCCTTCCCGAGTCTGTTTATACAAGGACACCCCCTCCCGCCCCGCTCTGTCTCCCCTCTTACTGGACACTGCAAAAAATTAAAAAACATGCTTGAATTTAGTGGTTTTTATCTTAATTTGAGCACATTCTGACTGAGTTAAAACCAGATTTCCAACAGGACAAAGCCATTTAGCCTTGTTTCAAAAACTGTTGCTCTATTTCCACATTCCAAGAGAGACATTTATTGTATCTTTTTAAAACAAGATTATTTTTTTGTCTCATTGGAAATCTTGTTTTAAGGCTCAGTCAAAATGTGCAGAAATGAAGACACATTTAACCAAATATGAACCGTATTTTTAAAGTCCTTTTTTGCAGTGTATGTCTCATGCTGTCTTTCCTGAATACTCCTCTCTATACTTTCTTCTAAGGACCGAGGTCAGT